ATTAATAATAAATGAAGAGATCTTTATTATAATTATATGTCAAAAATGTCTTTAACTTAACAAATGCGGATTAATTTTCTTTTAAAGTTTTAATCTATTCCGGTTGTAACAGTTTATTGTATTTACGATTATATATTAAAACAACTACCTATAAACGAAAACGAAGAAGAGAGGCTTGGAATTAATTATGTTACACATGTTTCATTATCTCCATGATGTAATCAATTAATTTTACTGTTTGTATTGCCTTTCATGAGTAGCATGTATATAATCTATAGTCCAAAAGGACTAACCACATTGGAAGCATACCACCCAATTTAAGATTTTTCTAATTGCATTTGCTTGCTAGTTGATGAAGTGGGCAACTTCCAAAGTCAAACAAGTAATGGCAGGCACTTTGTAGGAAGATTCCACTTGAAGATAGATAGGCTACAACAAAGCTTTCCCTTTGCATTTGTCTCTAAAGATGGAAAAGCACCAAACGAGAATCATTGACTACTCCTTGCCCTCTCATGATTCAGGGTTAATGATGCAGCCCAAGAAAGAACAATTTCAAAGTTAATTATACATATAGACTGTAAATTATATTCCCCAAGTTTTAATGGTGATTCTCATGACTGCAGGGTTGCTGTACCATTTTTGGATATTTTTCACCAAGTGGTTCTAAGTTCAACTTGCCCTCATCCAGCTGCGTAGGACTAGTAAAGAAGTTGTCAGGTTTATAATAAAAGGTGTTAGAACCAAAGATTTTGAGCAAAGTCAAGCCTATTGTTGCTAATCTAGTCTAGTATTATTCTTACATACATTAGTTTTTTTTATATCTTTGGCGTAGGAGAGGAAATAGACCCTTAGATTAATGTAAAGATATTTTCAAAAAATTTAATTAAAAGATGAGAATATGGGTATTAGAATTCCAACCACCAGTCTTCTCACCCTTCTAGAAGGTGATTTACCGGATCACTAAGTAAATTTGCTACCCGAATTTCATCCCAAACCCAAATATAAGTCAAATATAAGATACTTGTATCTTATATGATCGAGTCAAAACCCGCTTAAAGGATATCCATCTTTATCACTAGGTCACATTTATCGCTACCATTATATATAATATACATTTGATTTTCTGTCCAAATTCTTTTTATACAGTGATACATACATTGATCTTATAATATATAAAAGAGTAAGCAATGGGAGAGAATTGAACTAATTAATCTCTATTATATATATATAGATATGTGCACTGGGAGTATGGACCAACAATTTCCTTTGAACCATTTTCATATTTTCATGGGGATTAAAGAGCACCCTTTCCCCCTTGCAGTATATATATAGGATGTAACAACGTGGTATATATTCACCATTTCCCCCTTCATGATGCTTTATTTTTTTAAGTATTCTACTTTACCTTCACATGTAGCTGAATTAATTTTTTCCCCTCAATTAATTCTGTATAAACTAAATTAAAGTCAGAACTCCAATAATTCCTGAAATATGTATAATCAAACTTCATAATTCACTTGAGTAGTATGCTACTCAACCACTTAATCAAGTTAAAATAATCTCAGCATCTAGCAAGTTGAAACCATACAAATTTGCCATTAATATGAAAACAATATCATAAATTTTACAAACTTTAACGGCCACTAGTTTCTTTTGTTGGTTAGTTCGTGTATTGAACTCCAGAGTCAAATTCGATTTTAATGAACTTGTTGTTTTGGTGTAGATAGTTCACTTACTACTCCCCTAACCTACTTGAAAAGTTAGGAATGCATATCCAAGTCTCAGCTCTTAATGGTGGGTGGCCATTGGGCTAAGGCCTGCAGGCTTCTACTCTTTCCTATTTGATTGAACTCAAACCCTATCAGTAGGTCGTTCGGTGCAATATATTTTTGAAAATGGAGTTTTATCATGGATATTACAATACCACAACAACGCTTCCCATGGTGTCAGTCATGCTTCCTACTCTATAGCTCGCCAGTCAAAGCTAGAAAACTTGGCAGGTATTTAATCTGACCCCTTATGTACTCTAGGCCAATTAAAACAAGGAAAACGATTGGCCATTTTTTATTTGAGATTAAAATCGTGGTGGACCGTCGAACTTGCCAGGACCAACTCTTTTCTGCCCGACAAGTGTCTCTCTTAGAGTGAGATGAGGTTCTTCCTGCCCCCCCCTCCACTTTGAGCAATGAGCAGCAAAGCGAAAGGTTTTCAGAAATTAAGTACAGAAGTAGTAAAATCGTGCATCAGCTTAACATCAGAACTCATCAATTGTAGCAAGAACATGGCAATTTATTTTTAGTCTGCAAGTCCACTGATGAATAGCGGAGGTTTGTTCTGGTATAAGTTCATATCAGGCCCAAAACTTGAAAGTTGCAAATGAAGAAAACTTGAGGACTCTATGTACATACCATGCAGAGACAGAACCCACAACAGAATAATGAAAAAGTTGACAAAAATTACTTGTAATAAATACTGACAAGGCATCAAAAAGCAGTTTCTGTGCATTTCATTTTCACCCCTAATGTCGAAACATGCCAGTAATAACATGTTTGATTTTGTAATTACAGTTATATATAAATACAAAAAGTCTACAAAAGATTGAAAGTAAATAAAAAGGAGAAATATTCTCATAATGCAATAAAAAAAATTTAAGGGTCAGAGCCAATATGAGTAGTTGAACCAATCCCAACTTGCAGCCATGGCGATGAACCTCCACTCATATTGATGTCCTTTAGTTCGCTTAGTTTTGCTAACTTCACCTTACTGTCTGCTTCGTCATCCGCGTTTTGCATAGAACTATTACAATTATTGTTCTTTTCATTTTTGTTATCATTGTCAACTTGCAGTTGGTGTTGATGATTCTCTTCCTTTTCTTTGGCATCAACGCCTATCCAAGGCTGCAAATAGATTTCTGTTGAAACATCAAAGCTGGATGGATTAACGTGGTTCCGTCGTACAAGATCATCAGCTGGAGCAGGGAGATTGAGATCGAGCTTAAGATCGAGCGGCTCAGAATTGTCGATGAACTTTGGTGTTTGCTGAATCGGCTCCATGCGACCTTGAAACTGATGAAACTTAGCCAAAGAGGAAGTGTCAGGTGAATTTGAAGTGATCCAATGACATCTTTTATGCCCTCCCAATGCTTGCCCTGATGAAAAAACTCGGTGACAGATTGAACATTCATGTACTTTTGATTTCCTTTTCGATGTAGAGGCCAATGGAGCACTAGTTCCTTGATCAAATTGCAAAGTTGAAGTTGATTTTGTAGGGAAGAATTCTTCGTGTGTGATAACGTCGTGGTCTTCATCAGCTTGACTATCATCGATATGATCAAGCCGAGCTGCAAAGCACCCCTTAACCTTCTTGTGACTAGCTCTATGTCCACCCAATGCTTGGTGGGAATTGAACACTTTCTTGCATGCTTTGCACTCAAACAACCCTTTGGCTACGCCCTTGGCCTTGTCCATAGGTACCCTACACGCAATAGGTGCAATGAAATTCATTGTATTTCTTCTCTCCTCTTCTTTGCTGGCAGAAGCACAAGACTCCTCAGGCTCGGTGAAGAAAGGATCAACGGTTGCATTAGATAACATCATTAAGCAATTGGCAAGGTCTTCCTCTTCGCTTGACGGGCAATTCGAGTTGAAATTACCCACTTTAGCTCTCAACGACCTTTTCCTTTTAGACCAACCGCACCCTCTCCTTGTCACACCATCGTCACCGTCTGATCCTGGTGAGGACACAAGCGACTCAGCGTCCTCGGAGCTACATTTACCATGCTCAAGAAAAGATTTCCATGATAAAAACTCCTTCCCACAATTCTCACAGACCCTACAGCTCTTCAACCGATTAGGGTTCGTTCTTAATGCATACATGCGCTTATTGCTAGGTGGCACATTCCCTCCTAATTTGTCTTCCCAATCACTTGCAGGATCGTCGTCGTCAATGTGCCCACTCTCGTCGCCTATTCCATGCGCCCTCATATGCCCACCAAGGGCTCTGCCACACCCAAATCCTTTCTTGCAAATTTTACAAAAGTGTTTAAAGTTTGATTGTTGATCCACAATAAAAGCCATACAACGAAACGGAAAAGGGAAAATTTGATGCAGTGAAAGAAGAATAGGGGAGAAGGGGGGGGTGAGGGAAGTTGTTCTTAATAGTGAAAGGTTGTTGCAGAGTTGTATGGTGAGAAGGGGCACTAGTCCTAGTTTTTAGTAAGAGTCATGGCTTGGTTTTTTGTGGATGAAAAATAGATTAGAATAGAAGAGAGCAATGGAGAGTCGAGGAGTGTGGTGACAAGTGGTAGGCGGAATAGAGGCTAAGAGACTTTTTCTACGGCTTTGTGGTGGTGGTGGCGCCGCCGCCGGTCAAACAAATACTACAAAAACCAACGGAGTTCCGTACAACCAGTTAGTGTTTTCAGTGTGAGCTATTGGCGTCTGTTGCATGTGTGAGAAAGAGAGAGAGAGAGAGAGAGAGAGAGAGAGAGAGAGAGAGTGAATTGAGTGATCAGTGAAAGAGATTAAGAGAGAGTGGTTCTAACTGCCATACCTATTCATATCCCTTCAATTCCAAGCCAAGAAAACTAACCCATGCTTCTCCTTGTCTGTCGGTTGGTTCAATCTGCTTTTCCACAGAATTTTCATATCTCAACACATTATTATTACCTATTATTATCTTCAAAAAACCTTTTTTTGGAGGGTGGCAAGGGTTAAATATAAATGGTTTTCTCTTGCTTTTTCCCTTCATATAACAATTCTTTAAGTACCCCAAAAGGAAAAGTAAATTAGCTTCTCAACAATTAGCTTTAAAGGGTATATATATTATATTTAATTCCCAGAGGTTGCTCATGCTAGTTACATTTCTAATTAAACATAACTATATCACCTACACAAGAACAATGAATCAAGTTAGGGAGACAAGGGGATTCAAAGTACTAATAATTAAGATAAAAGTTAGAATTAAGTTATAATTGGTTTAGGCAATGTTAATTGAAGCTTAATCTATTAGGCTTAAGAGAATTTGTACCAAGTTTGTAGTGATTAGATCAAATTAGCTAGTCAGTGAAGTACCCTTGGCTAAGCAATGACTTTGCTTCCATCAGTACGGCAGTGGGTTTAGTCTCTCTAATCAATCAATGATATCATTCTTTTTGCTTTGATTCAAAGCATCCCCAAAGCCAACTAGCCAGTCAATTAAGTAGTGACAGTGATTAAGCAAAGAGATATGATTCCTGCTTAGTCCAGGCCATGTTGAAGTAAGCAGTCTACTGATCATCAACTGCATCTTGAGCTCAAGAAAATTCACTACGATTGGGACAATTCATGATTAAATTTGATGGTATGCAGAGGTTGATGGCAGCCACCTACCATTTTCAATTAACCATTTGTTTTTTATTAATCAATAAATCGCCCTCGTATATAAAGCAGTATGTATGTTTCTTGGCTAAATTTTTAGACATTTTCAATGAATAGCATGGTGAAATTGCAGTATTTAATGAAGGCATTAAGGTATTAATTATTTTGAGATGTAATGTAGCATTCTGTCTGAATATTTTCTATTTCACTAGCTGAATTGCAACTTTTTTTATGGTTTTGCTGAATTATTTTTTTTTCATTTTTTTAAAAGGCAATCTTTATAAGAAGGTGTATAATGATACATCAAAAAATCGACTCAAGTGTCATATCTGTTACCATGAACAGCTTAACTGCAAACTCGATACAGTATTAATTTGCTCCCAATTATTTCCATAAATCATAAGCCAATTACAAGGAAAAATCTAACTCTACCATCTCACCCGTAAAAGATGTTAGAAAAACAAATATATATATAGACTCCTCTCCCTAATGGCTTTAGCCAGGGTACCTGCCAACTTCTAATGGACTGAATCCTCCTATATATATTGGATACTAAGTCCAAAAGATGTTGCTTAAGGCCCCATGGGTAAGCTCGAGTGCTAGCCAAGTTGAGTTAGCCAGTGAGGGTTGTCCAGAGCCCAATCATGATCACACTTGTTGAGAGCTGGTCCAAAATTGGGCCAAAATAGATGCGAGAGGGCATAGACATTGAGATCATGTGTGTACGTAGACACCAACAGAAACAAATAAAAAGAAGCCATCAAAAAATGCAATAAACCCATCCTAAAAGCAGAATTGAACGAGCAGATCAAGGCTTCAACCCTCGGTGATAGTCAGCATGATCCTCTCGCATGCTGTCTCTGAAAGCACAGTAAGCACAGGAATATACAATGATGAGGAAGATAAGGAATATGACGTTGATATGGGCTACCTTATGCTTTTTCCAGGAATTCTTGACGTTGTCTAGAATCCCAGCCTTGCACGATTGGCAATTGAAGCATAGAACTTTTGGATTATTATCCCATTTTTTGCAATCGGGATTCTTATATATCCCATGCTCCTTTGTCCAATTAGTAGGATTCTTATACGTAAATCCGCAGTCGTTTGACGGCTTACAACAACCAGACTGCATTTATAAAAATAAAGGTTCGATTAATTAAGGAGTGTTTATTAATTTTATATTAATTACAAAAATCGTTTTATAAAAATTATATTATCAAAAAATTTGAAGAAAAAATAAAAAGGAAAATGGTACCTGAAGAGCATTCAAGGGCTCGTGGTGGAACTTCTGCAGACTATCACTGTGAAACTTGCTATGGAAATCGGTGCAAATCCTGGATTGAACCAAACAAGTCTTAACCTTATTCCAATTCTCAGCGTTGTTCACTATCCTTTGAAGCCAGATAGAATAATCCCCCAGCCTGTACTCTTTATATCCCTTCCCGGGCAACGACCGCCCAGCACCTTCATTCGTCACCACAAAAGCGAAGGCAGTGAAAACGACGCCGCCTAAGATGAAGAGAAACATGAAGACGAGGTAGATCCAGAGCAGTCCCGGCACTCTGCAGCACGTGCCGATGAAGGCCGTCAAAGATAGGAGAATGAGAAAGAGTCCAACCAAGATAAGCGGCTTGTCGAGGAGGCGTTCGCATTCCGTGACGGCGTTCTTGCTTAGCAATAATCCCACCGCGAAGATCGGGATCGAAACGAATAAGGTTATGAGGTTGAGGATTCCGCTGACGTCGTTGCTCGGACGGATCGATGACATGATAATCTTTTCCTGTTTGGGTACTGGGAAAAATCAGGGATCTGACGGGAAAAGAGAAAAGGTTTGAGGAAGTGGAGTAGTGGGAGTCTTCGCTATCTGGTTGGTTTTTAAATATGCGCGGGGGATTTCGAATCAGGAAGGGAAAGTCCGTTAAAATTGGGCTCGTGATTAAGGGAGTAAGTTAACTTTACACATTGGCAAATTGTGTGCGCGTGAGGGATTTTTGGACTCCTGTTTAACTCTAATAACTGCCGCGTGGCATTTATGGAAAATACATTATTTTTTGTGGGGAGAATCAAGTATACTTTTGTCATTCAATCTTTTCAATTTATTTCTAATCATTATTTAGATTAGTCAATGGGTAGAATCTGAATTCTACCAAAAAAAGAAAATACATTTTCTTTTTAATTTTTGACATCCTAAATAATGTGATTTTGAAATTAAAATTTTCATCCAAATTTTCGATCTTCATCAATCGGCTCATTTTCATATGAATTCTTTTATAAATTATTAAATTATATATATACTGATAATAGAGTTTTTTTAGATGAATTATTATATTATAAAAGATACAATATGTAATTAAAATTGCCTGTAAAATAGAGTAAATGCACTTGAATCATAAAATAATATTTATTTAAAAAAAAGTCATGAATCATATATTTATATGGACGGCCAAGAATTTTACAAAAATAAGTGTAATTTTCTAGATAAAAAGGTGCTACATGTCTTTTAAAAAATTAAGATAATGATAGAGATAGCTTTGATTGTATCAAGATAAATTTTTAGTACTTTAATTAATTTGAAATACTTATATTCTTTAACCTACTCTTTTCTATCCCTATCATGTGTAACTTAAATTGAACAGAGTCTTGCAGCCATTTAAGGCTAGCTAGCAAGGCCTTGAATCCTCTCTCTTTATACTATTATCCATCTTTTGTTTTTGGAATGTCTTAAAATATATATTTTTATCACTTTTATACATTTAATATTTTCCTGAAAATAAAAAATATTTAAAACGAAAAAAAAATATTATAAATAATTTTTTGTTCATTTATTTATATAAGCCGTCTCGTGTGTAAAAGGGGTGCTATATATATAAATAGTCAAACAAGGCTATAAACTGTATTTTATTGATAATTCTCCCATAAACATACATAATCAAGCAATTAAGACATGGAAGAATATCTTCATGTTGACTAACAGGATAGTTATAAACGTGGTACAGAATCGTATACTTTATATCGTATACAGATTGCTAGGTTTAGGGTGCTTTATCAGGCATTAAAAATTAACGACAGATGTATAGGTTTGTCCGGGCTGCCAACCAGCAGGAATGACACCGGATGCCACAAGAGTCTGGCCAGAGGTGAGTGATGTCAGCCTGATGGAGAACGGAGGCCGCAACGTCGAGCCGCTGTCGAGTTTCCAGACTGCACCCCAGGATTGTTGCATGGGAAGCCAGGGGTCAGAGTCAAGCGCCTGTTTGAGTTCAACTAAGGCAAGGTCACCATCTCCGTTTTGGTAAATAACTACGGTGGCGAAATAGTTAGGGTTAGAGCCGGCATCAACTTTGAAGGCAATGGACGTCCCGGGATAGTTACATTGCACTCTGCAAGTCAATTTTTCATCAATGAAAAGAATGGCGAGAAAACGTTGAGAATTTTGACAGCGAAATGAGGGTTTAAAATTATTTGAAGAATAATATAATCCCATAGGCAGTAGGCTTGGTTTAACAAAGTCAATTTCCAAGAGTAAATACCACCTATAGTGCAATTAACAAAGTCAATTCTTCTTCACTTCCTTTTTGCAGGCTGAGGATATATTAAATTCTTCATGGAAAAATTGTACAAGAATATTGTCATGCTACTTCTATATTCTCATCCTCTCTTTCTAATCGTACGTAGAATCTTACTTTCTATATTGAATCTGCAAGACTCCAGCGTTACGGAGTTGATCAGCCTGGCCAGACTTTGCCATGGCGCCAAAAGCAGTACCACTTAAATCAAAATGAACGGACTCCGAGACACAGCCAGGGCATTCATCGGTGATAACTACAGTCACAGGACTTTCCGAGCACGCTGAATTTGTCGTGCACTGGACCTGAAATTAAACCATATTATGCATGTTAAACAACATTGAAAGGTACCCTTTGCACGCGAGAGTAGGAAAAAGGAAGGATATGTATATGGAGAATCATCATGAACTCAAAGGAAGTTTATCATCTTTTCAAACAGACGGAAAAGTTATGGAGTTTTTGGACATGGGAATGAGGCATGATAACAAACTGATGAATATATTTTATATATATATTCATGAAAAAATTGAACGTCACCTCGTAACAGGCTCCACATCCTTTGCCAGATTTGAATAGGGAAGGGCCCCCAGCCGACACCATTGCAGAAAATGGGGCTTGCTCCACAGCACCCCCATAACCACAAGCTCCACCTAGATACAAAAAAAAAAAAGGGATTAAATTTCATAAAATTAAACAATTTTCTATGTGTAAATAGTCTCAATCATTCTCCATGCTCATCATTACCATCACTTCCAGCCCCCGTGGGGCTGCCATACCACGTTGCTCCGGCGGGGGACCAATCAGACTCAGATGCTGCCAATGAGGCATTAAGGAGCTTAGGGTAGAAGCAGTAACAGGAGTTGAATAACAGAGAAAATGTGGCTGCAAAAGTGAGAAGAGAGAACATGTTTCGAAGAGCGAAAGCCACGAACACTTCGATCAAAGAAACTACTAGTAGAAAGGAATTAGCAAAGCTAGCTAAATGCAAAGTTTAAGCTCTGTTTTGCTGATGGATTTAGCAGATCAACGACAAGGTATTTATAGAGCCAAAGGCTAGTGCATGTGGTTCTAATGCAACCACTTAGTGGAGGACACGTGCATGTTTTTGGAAGGATTTATGCATTATTTTCTTCAGGAACAAGCGAAATGAGTAAGACCCTTGAGATACGAAATCCTAATAACCCATACTACTTTGCTAGACTTTAAGTTAGAATTTGGCTAAATTCCCATACATTTCTATGACATCAGCTAGAAAAGTCTAATTAAATTCGTAAGCACATAATTAAATTGACTAAAATCAGAAGCACAAAATGCCAAAGAGTAACACAACACAAAACCCCAGAAAGACACAAGAAACCCGAATGAAGAACAGAAAAATCAACTCCCTGTTGTCAAGTATCAGAAAATCCGTCTACTTCTCTATAATTGAACAAAAACACAATTCATTTGAGAATCAAACAAACGTTCCACGGCCTAATAATTTCAATCACTATGCACCCACAGTTGAAAATAAAAGAGCTTTGCTTCTGTCCAAATCACAGTAATACTCTTGCATGGTTACATCAGTTAGATTGCTTGTTTCTAGGCTTCGTTGCCGGAGCCGGGAGAGAAAGAAAAAAAAAACAAACGCAAGATCTGATTTGCTCTTTTTATCTCTCCTTCTCTGACTCAGACGTACGTTTACAGACGAAACCTAACTACAAACGTCTCTCTTTTGTCTGTTTGTGACCATCTACATTTGCAATCTATCGCAAAGAGGTTATGTCTCCGACCCACCCCCAGTAGGACGGTAACCATCGGGCCTACGTCATCGGTTGTTCCAAATTAATATTTTCGTATGTTTCTTACCCCAAATTCAAGGGAATACATGTTCGTTGATTTTGCCGCTGATGATGGTTAACACCGTTGAACATTCCCCATCCGATGGACCGAGTAAACCCCGACGATCCTTCCATTTCCGTTCAAAAACTACAGCACGTAATATTTGGCGGGGATTTGGGCTCTGTAATTTTCAAATCGTTTATTAATAAATAAGATTGATGAGATTGCATGATTGCGATTTAATGCTTTTACTTTTACACCGAAATTGTAAGATTGACATCTCAAAGAAATATATATGCAAAACAATTTTATATTTGATCTTCTGTTAATTTAATATTTATGTATTATGAGTTAATAACGGCATATCAACTCATAAACATGTACGAATAAAAGTTCAAAAGTTTTGTGAAATAAATATTCTTTAGATTATAGTATTTATTTTTAAAGTTTTATAATTTTTAAATTAAAATTTATATTTGATGCATTATCAATTTATAATGTTTATATACTATTATTTAATTACATAGTGCCACCTCATGAATGTACAAAGTTAAAAAAATTTTCAAAATAAATATATTTAAAATCATGTGTAATTATTTTTTATAATTTTCAATTATTAAATTTATTTATTATTGATATGACAATATTTGATTCACTTGTAGGGTATAAAATTTGTACACTAATATTACATTAAATAAATATAAATTATAAATTTATTTATTAACAAAAGAGCAACATTTGAATTACTAATTTTTTGTAAACTTTATACACCAACAATATATTGAATATAAACCTTAGCTGTTTTTTTTTTAATTTGGATAAAGAGAGATTCTAATTTTATGTTTTAAATAAAAAAATTATACATCAACTAATAAATCAAATACTCAAATACAATATACGTTTTAACTTTATTACTTTCTCTTATTCTTTACTAAATTTAAACTTCTCTTTTAAGCCTAAGAAACCAGGGAGCGTTTTTTGACTAAGAAATGAATTTTTTATATGGAGTTTTAGCTGAGGGAAGCTCACATGGCTGCCTCCATCAAAGTGGAAGAATGAGTCCCTACTTCCGAACAAGGTGACTGAGACTACACGTGGCCGACGTTTTCATGCCGAAGATGAGGTGACAATAGATGTTTGTGATAAGAAGAATTCTTTAGTCAACTTTTATTTGAGATCTAAAAACCAAGAATAAAGATTAAAAATTTTAAAAATTAATATATTAAATTTAACTAATGATTAAAAGATTTATAATAAATAATTTTATATAACATGTAAATTAAAAAAATTTATAATAATTTATTAAAAAAGTTGTGCTCAATGATGTTAAATTCAAATTAACCAATTATTGACTTTTTACTAAAAAGTATTTATTTCTTTAAGATTGAGTGTTAGACCCTATGAATTATACAACAATGTGGCTGTAGCTTACAATAGTAGAAAATAAGCTTAAAATGTATAAACGCATTTTTTATAAGATTAACAATATATATTTTTACTTATTCAGAAAAATCTTTATTTGTGAAACATAACCAGGAAAAAACCATATATCCCTTATGGAAAGTTTGCATTATGCCTGCATTTAATGTTGAATTAGGAGCTGATCACCAAAATTAGAAAAGATTCAATAAGATATAAACAATAATTATTATATAAATTTTATAAGTTTTTAAAATGTTAAGGTTTTTTCCCTTAGAGTGCTTCACACACTCTTTTTAAATTGTTAAGCTAATAATTATATATTAAAAAATAATTACAAAATAGATAAATAAAGTTTTAATTATATATGATTTAAATTTTATAATATTAATTTATAAATTATTCAATACTATAAAAATTAAGAAATTTATTTTAATGAAATTCATTTAATATTATTAGAAATTTTATTTGCAAATGCTTAATATTTTTAATCAAATTCATTCGATAAAATATTTAAATTTCTTATATGTTTTTATAAATTTAATTTTTATTAATATTAATAATAAAGAATTAAAATGAAAATTTAAAAATATGATAAACAAATATAACTATTTTCATCAATTAAAAACTTTTTCTACATCCAAACTTTTATATAAAAATATAAATATATTTATATGATAGATGTAGATATAGCTTTATTCCTCACTCTTTAACCTTGATATCAAGGAGAGGATTCTTACCCTATTTTTGCAATCTTGTTGAAAGGACCCTAGAGCCCAATAATTAATTTGGACCATCCAACGCCCTATAATTTGTGTTGGCAGAGCACACCAAAAAGAAAAGAAAAAAAGGCCGAGGCTGCTTACAGATACCAATTCAGGGCCTAAACGATCCAATGTTCTTCTGGGGTGTGGACCCTGGAAACAGACTAGGCTTCACCAGATATGCCAGGCAACGTCCCCAAAAACAAGACCATGTCTCCAATTGACTAGAGCTGGGTAAAATGGCTCATGACCCATTTAACCTCGGGCACCCTTTGTTTTAGCCCAGTCATAATATACCAACTATGTCCAAGAAACTTGCCTTGAATGTCTTCCTCTTTCTTCATGTCCTTTGCCTTGTGATTTATTGTGAAGGTTTTTCTCTTTCTTTTTTTCTTTTTGCCACTTCTTTAAATGAATTGGAGAGAAGGATTTGAGTTTAATTTTTTTAAAAAAAAATTGGAATTTGATGTGTCTATTTAATTAAAATTTAGACAAAATGGTGACAATTAATACTAATAGTTACTCTTTTCTCAAAAGAAAAATTAGATAATGTAAATTGACAGTGGTCGTCTCTAGACCTATAAAATCTGTAATGTGTATATACTTAAAAGTTCAATCAAATTTCTTTATTTATTTTTATTTTTAATGATAGTGTCTTAACTTTTAAGTGACATTTAATCTCTTACAATATAATGTAATTATTGAGAATGTGATTGCTAAAAAAATAACATCACAACATTTGATATATATGAGAAAGTGTTAATTAAAATATTAAGAAAATAATATTACAGCATTTGATTTATAAATACTTATTAAGAATTTGATATTAATTTTTTAAAATTACTCTTATATATGAAAATGCAAATTTAAGATGCTTATGTTTTTTTTTTGTGAGCATCACCTAAAAAAGATGTATCTTGTGGTGGAAAACAAAAATGAAAAACAAAAAAATTTAATATATTTCAGCTTTTTTATTTTGATTATTTAAGAAAAATTGATAATGAGAAAAAATGTAAAACAAAAATGTTTCTTTTGATATGTGAATTAACCTAAAAAAATGTTCAATAAAAAATGTTTTTTTTATTTTGAAATGCAAGTGCATCACCGCAGAGGAAAGAACGATAATGTCAAAAGGTGGGCACTGCATATATATGTGTGTGTGTATATATATATATAGACACTTAATATTTTTACTTTTATATATATAATATTTTTAGGAAATTAAAAAAAGATAGATATTTAAAAATGGAGAAAATATATATTATAATTAATAATTTTTGGTTCATTTGTTTATATAAGCCATCACTTGTGTTAAAATGGTGCTATATATATAGCTAGTCAAACAAGGCTATCAACTATATTTTATTAATAATTCTCCCATTCGCATACATAATCAAGCAATTAAGACATGGAAGAATATCTTCACGTTGACTAAAAACTCGCCAACAGTAGAGTACTAAACGAGGAATACAAGCGTATAGATAGAGGGGCGGGCCTTAGCCATTAAAATTAACGACTGATCTATAGGTTTGTCCGGGTTCCCAACCAGCAGGAATGACACCGGTTGCCACGAGGGTCTGGCGAGAGTCAAGTGATGTTAGCCTGATGGAGAACGGAGCCCGCAACCTCGAGCCGGAGTCGAGTTTCCAAACTGCACCCCAGGATTGTTGCATGGGAACCCAGGAGTCAGAGTCAAGCGCCTGTTTGAGGTCAACAGAACCAAGGTCACCATCTCCATTTTCATATTCAACTAAGGTGGCGAAATAGTTAGGGTTCGAGCCGGCATCAACGTGAAAGGCAATGGTCTTTCCGGGGTAGTTACATTTCACTCTGCAAGCCAATTTTTCGTCAATGAACAGAATGATTAGAAATTGTTGAGAATTTGACTGCGAAATGAAAATTTCAAATTATTTGAAGAATAAACTAATCCCATTGGCAATAGGCTTGGTTTAACAAAGTCAATCCCTTTACATAAAGACATTTCTTCTTCATTTTTTCCTGCAGGGTGAGCATTAAATTCTTTATGGAAAACTTGTGCAAAAATGTCATACTACTTCTAAATTCTCATCCTCTGTTTCTAATCTCACCCAAGTCCCAACAACAAACCCCACACGCATAGAAACGTACGTTGAATCTTACTTTCTATATTGAATCTGCAAGACTCCAGCGTTACGGAGTTGTTCACCCTGGCCAGACTTTGCCATGGCACCAAAAGCAGTACCACTTAAATCAAAATGAACGGACTCCGAGACACAGCCAGGGCATTCATCGGTGATAACTACACTCACAGGATTTTCCGAGCACGCTGAATTTGTTGTGCACTTGACCTGAAATTAAACCATATCATACATGTTAAACAACATTGAAAAGTACCCTTTGCATGCGAGAGTAGGAAAAAGTAAACTGGCACATAAAAGGAAGAATATGTATATGGAGAATCATCATGTACTCAAAGGAAGTTTATCAATCTTTTCAAACTGACAGACAAATTATGGCGTACAAAGGCATGAGGCATGATAACATAATGATGAAGTTGACGAGTATACGGATATTGTGATAATATATATATATGCAAAAATTGCATGTCACCTCATAACAGGCTCCACATCCTTTGCCAGATTTGAATATGGAAGGACCTCCAGCCGACACCATTGCAGAAAATGGGGCTTGCTCCACAGCAGCCCCATACCCACAAGCTCCACCTAGATACACAAAAAAAAAAAAAAGTTAATGTTGATAAAATTAAACAATAATCTATGTGTACATAGTCTCTATCATTCTCCATGCTCATTATTACCATCACTTCCAGCCCCTGTGGGGCTGCCATACCACGTTGCTCCGGCTGGGGACCAATCAGACTCAGTTGCTGCCAAGGAAGCATTAAGGAGCTTAGGGTAGAAGCAGTAACAGGAGTTGAATAACAGAGAAAATGTGGCTACAAAAGTTAAAAGAGAGAACATGTTTCGAAGGACGAAAGCCATGAACACTTCGATCAAAGAAACTACTATATTTAGTAAGAGGAATTAGCAAAGCTAGCTAAAATGCTGGTTTAAGCTTGGTGATGGTTTTAGCAGATCAAGGATTAGGTATTTATAGAGCCAAAGTCTAGTGCATATGGTTCTAATGCAACCACTTAGTGGAGGACACGTGTACATAATAAGAACGATTTAGCCATTATTTTCTTCATGAACAGGTCAAATGAGTAAGATCCTTGAGATACGAAATCCTAATACCCTAGACTACTTTACTAGACTTTAAGTAGAATTTAGCTAAATTCCCATGCATAGCTTTGACATCAGCAAGCAAATAATAAATTAGTAAGCACATAATTGAATTGAATAGTAGTTACTTCAAAACAATTGATTAAAATCAGAAGAACAATATGCCAAAGAGTAACACAAAGCACCAGAAAGACACAAGAAATCAGAAGGAACAACAGAAAAATTAACTCCCTGTTGTCCACGCAAGATTTGTCAGAGAATCCGAAAACAATGAATCAGCCAACGTTTCCATGGCCAAATATTTTCGATCACCATGCACCCACAATGCAAATGGCAAATTTTAATCCACATATGCAGCTAGAAAAAACCAAAGGAAAGAAATTAACTTTAACTTTGTTCTGTCCAATTTACAGCATACTTTTACATGGCTACATCGGTTAGATTGCTTGTTTCCAGGCTTTGACGCCGGAGACGGGCAGAGGAAAAAAAAACGCAATCTGATTTGCTGTTTTTGTCTCTCTTTCTCTGACTCGGGACTTTTACAGACGAAACCAAACTACTATAACGTCGTCCTTTTGTCTGTTTCTGACATCAACCCGCGAAAGCGGTTATGTCTCCTGATGTCTGGCCCCACCAGGACGGTTAAAGTCGGGCCCACGTCACCGATTGGTCCAAATTAATATTTTTCGTATGTTTCTTATCACGTTATCCCCATTGCCTTAAATTCAGGGGAATACGCTGAATTAATTTCCAATTAAGCGGCTTTAGTTGAGAGCAGCGACAAAACACTTGTTCGTTGATTTTGCCGTTGATGGTGGTTATTTCCGTTGAACATCATCCCACGGTCCGTTTAAACCCTGAGGATCCTTCCATTTCCGTTCAAAAACCACGGCACGTAATACTTGGCGGGGATTTGGGCTCTGTTATTTTCAAATCGTTTATCAACACGATTGATGAGATTTGATGATTGTGATTTAATGCTTTGTTTTACGTGGAAATTCTAAGATTGATATCTTAATGAAATATAGATTCAAATTAAGTTTATATCTGATACACTGTAATAATATAATATTTCTATATTATTAGTTAATTATAAATATGTATAGATAAAATTTAAAAATTTTGTAAAATAAAATTTAAAAATTTTGTATAATAAAATTTTTATATTTGATGTACTGTTCATATGTAATATTTATATATTATAATTTAACTATAAAGTATCATTGTATGAATGTGAAAAGATAAAAGTTTAAAATTTCTCCCAAATAAATTTTTTTCAATTATAAATATTTTTTTTAAAAAAAATTTTGACAAAGTAGTGACATTTGATTTAGTGATGCTGTATAAAATTGATATATTAAAAATACATTTAATATAAATTTTTTAATTTATTTAATAATAAAATAATAATATTTAAAAATCTCTAATTATCTATAAACCTACGCATTAACGATAAAATAAATATATATAAATAATATAAATAAATATTCACAAAAATACTCATAATAAAACTCAAATTTTATTACCTTTTTCTACGCAGACAAATTTAATGTTAAGAATATCATGCGGGGCTTTTTGACCATTAGAGGTATTCTTTATATGATGAGTTTTAGCTGAGGCAACTCACATGGCTATCTCCATCAGAGTGGAAGAGTGAGTCCTCAATTCCGAACAAGGTGACTGAAACAACACGTGGGCGTCGCTTTCATTCTGAAGATGGGGTGATGAGAGAGATTTGCAACAGGCAGAAATCCCCCTACAGGCTATAGGACAATATGGCTCTAGCTTATGACCATAGAAAATAAACATAAAATATATAGACGAATATTTGATAAGATCTTCAATTTATATTAATTTTTCCTTATTCCGGACAAATTTTCAGTTGGTGAAACAGAAAGTTGCTCAAAAAAAAACATGTATCCCTTATGGAAAATTCGCATCATGCATGCATTTAATGTTGAATTAGTAGCTCATAAAGAAGAATTACTATTACCAAAGTAATTCCTAAGATTAGAAAAGATTCAATAGGATAATCTCTTCGCTTAAACTCTATATACATTTCTTTTATGTTAATTATATATATAATATTTTATATCATTATTGATTTCATACATGTTATCAGAATATCTCTTAATTTAAAACTTAGTCTATTTGTTTACATTTACAAGTAAATTGATAAATTTTATTAAAAAATTAACGATATAAATGATAAAGTGTTATACAAAAAAAATTAAAATCTCAAAGTTAACTTTTTGGGTATCGATTTAAATAATTAATTAATGTAACTTTTTTTTCAAAAAGGGCACCATATTCAAATCAATTAATGCAACTTTTTTCGCTTTTGGATTACCTGACTTTAGAAAACGTTTCCAAATCAGATTTGAATTTTTGTAAATTATTTGAGGAAATGGCACATGCACGTCACGGTTGAAAAGAAATATGTGTTCTCTCTAGATTAATTAGGAAAAAAAAAAAACAATGCACGTTCTTCTCATTTTGACGTTGAAAATCGTAGCCTTGATGATAGAGGATTATCGTAAGGGTTTTAAGTGGAAAAATTGTCTCTCAGTATGTCAAGTCTACGCAATTTAAAATTCATCTATAGATATATAGAACTTGTCGTGGATGACAAGGCGATATACAATTGTAATCTTCTTTTAGTATTTATTGTTAATTGTTATGTGCATATGAATACTTGTTTCTTTTTTTTAATAACAAGTATATAAAACATAAAGGATTCTAATGTATAAAGTTAAAGATTATATTTGAAATTTAATTATATATAAAATGCAATTAATATTTCAATTATATATAATTAAAAATTTTATTTACAAATGAAATAAATCTTATTAATATTTATAATAAAAACATATATTTAATTAAAGTCATTCTATACCATTAAAATTTTAATATATCTAAAAATTTGATAACTCTTATGAATACTATTAATATAAAATTAAAATAATAATATAAAAAATAATGTACATATATGATTATTTTCGTTAATCCAAAAACTTTTCAATATTCGTACTTTTGTATATATATGGATATAGATTTATTCCTAATCCGGCCTTTAACCTTGATGCCAAGGAGAGGATGTTACCCTGTTTGTACAATCTTCTAATAGACTCCACATGACATAAGATCCCGGAGCCTACAGCTTGGGACTTAGGACACTCCAATGGAGCACTTTCAAACGTACGAAATGGTCACAACTCCAAACAGGCGCAGCAACCAATTCAGGGCCTGAAGAATCCAATGTTCTTTTGGGTCTGGACTCTGGAAACAGCATAGGGCCTCACCAGACATATCATTGTACCAGGCCAACGCCCAAAAAAATAAGACCAATGTTACCAATTCACTCAAGCTGGGGAAAATGGCTCATGACCCACTTGACCATGGACACCCAAGAAACTTACCTTGATTGTCTGACTCTTTCTTCTTTTCTTCTTCTTTGCCTTCGGTATGATTGTGAAGGTTTTTGTCTTCGTTTTTTTTTTTTTGAGTTTTGATGTAGTTATTTATTTAAAATTTAAACAAAATCCTGACCATTGATATTAGTAGTTATTTTTTTCTCAAAAATAAAAAATATATAAATAAATTAAGCAATGGCTAATGTCATAACTCATAATTCCTAAATATAATTTTTTACCGTAAATTAGCAGAATAATTTTATTTGAAAATCAAGATAAAAACAAGTCAACTGCTTGGTACTATAATGAGAATTGTCTTCTTCTCTTTGCATAATTATATTATTAAGTAGCAGTATGAAATTCTGGCAGGACGTAAATTCAAGAGGCATATCGTGCATTTAAATCTCTTTAATAAACCCATAATGAACGTAATGAAATTGTTTAGGTGTGAGCGTTAGGTGGGTGCTGGTGTGAGCATGAATTTTGGACCTAAAATAAAGCCACAGGTTCATTTAACCGATTGCAATTTACAATTAAAAAGAAATGCCTTTGATAATTGATGATACTTTTTCATCATCATCATCATCAACTCTTTTATTCCCTCAAATCGGATAGCATAGCATTATCAACAAAACTGATTTATTATGTCAAATCAAACTACAGAAGTCCTCTGGTCAGGAGGATCAGACCAAGCTCAACAAATATGATTGCATGATTGAAACTTTTTCTTTTCTAATTTAATTCTATATCGTCTGTAGGGACACTTTAATATATGAATATTACATTAAAATATAAAATATAACTCTTACTGAATGTCAAAAGAGGAACTCACCACAAAATAGTGAACAAATTCAAATTATATATGTGAATTCGAACCCAAAACAACTAGGGGAATAAGCAAAGTCAACAGGAAAGTTCATGGCAGAGAAGTGGAGTTTGGGATTGAGCTTGAACAAAATAAAAAAAATCAATCAGGGTGCATCTAAGACGGTGTCTAGTAGGAGGAGCAAATTCAAGGGGAATAATTTGTCTGGTAAGAAAGAAAGCTCAGTTGGCTGTGTTATTAATCACAAGTATTTAACAATTTAATATGTAAAAAGTGGGTCAATAGGGGGACAGGCTTAGTTGTAACAAAATAAAATAACAAGTAACCAACGAGTTGAAAATTTAATGTCTGTGTGACCATTTAGAAAGTGGTCGTAGAGAATGATAACACACCAAACTAAACAGGGACATTTGCCGCCCTTAGTGTCAACTCAATCCATTGTCGTTTTCTTCAAAACCCAAGCTTCCACCTTCCTTCACTTGCATTTTTATATATATTATTGGGATTATGAACCATTTGGTTTCTTTGGACATGGGGTGGGAGCGATGATTGACTCTTCTTTCTAGTTCGGAACGGCCACGATTCCTCACTGGTATTACTGGTTACCCTACCACCGAACCAAAAACCTATTTTTCTTTTCCATCCGTACATCAACATCATCACTGGACGACTAACTCTTTTCTAATTATGTTTTGTTTAAAGATAAAGCTTTTTATTAAGAAGTCATGACGGAGCCATTTACCCTTTCTTATATAAGTGAGTGACAGCTCTTTAGAAGCATTACAATGCAGTAATGTAGAGTGTTTTTATGTGACATATCAGATTTTTCTTAATCATTTAAGTGGTTCATCTCTCTTGAAATGTGTAATTTCAATACAATTTAGGGCATAAATTATATTTTGAAAGATAAAAAAGTGAGATGAGATACATAAATTTATAATTTATTATCTTTAATTGTATATATTTTCAATGTCAATCAAGAAATTTAAGAGAACAAGCAGATTCATTGACCCTTTTGATTTGCTTTTAATTGTAAAAAAGTGAGAATATAATCTTTTTTAATTTTTTTTGTATGGTTGACCTGGAATTTCCCAACAAATTTGTGAATAATAGTCGATGTAGTTCGTCGGTGGGTGGCGCGGCCACATCTTCTAAAGAATCAAAACAAATTCGGCTTTATTCGGGGATGAACACACAGCATTTAGACGCATATCCACTGTAATTAGATTCTGAATTTAGCCATGGCAGAACATGTTCAAGACATTAAAAGCTGTATCAAATAAAGTAATGTTTACTTCGACCAATTAATCATTTTCTAAACTTTCCCCTTTTTTTCCTTTTAGTACAAAGTAGAAAAGTCGATGCCTCCTTTCCTATTTCCTCTGCCGGAAGTTGTCTTCTGTTGGTAATACATTACAATCAAACTTCGATGCAAATGCTTTTATTGGGTTTTTACATATTTTAATATTGGTCAGTTTTTGTTAATCTTAAACGGTTTTTTTTTTAATTTTTATAGAAATTGAGATAAAAAATGAAAGAGAATGAATATATAAGTATTAATTAAGAGTAGATGTGATGCAGGCCTTCCCTTTTGCTTCAAACTAAGAGAATAATGTTGTTGGATAAAATTAATGTTCTTGCCAATTCTACATCAAAGTTTCAACAAACTGGATTTTATTACATTAATGGATGCACTTTTTGCTGAACAGAAGTCATTTTCTACATATGTCTAGTTGGTTAGTGTGCCATTGAAAGGATATATTATAAACAAAAAATTGTACCATTGGGAGGAAGCTGGATAGTGAGATGAGAGCTGAATTAGCCTTTAACAACTTTAAATGTATAATAATGTTTATGTACTCTACTGTCTCACTCTTCTGTTTATGTCAATTTAATGGAAACTTTTTTAACCTTTTCTTTCAAAACCAAATTGGGTTTTAATAAAATAGAAAGACAATGAGACAATCTCATTGTGTTTCTACTTAGCTATGAATAATATTGAGAGACTATAGAGCCAGCCAAGGGCCCCCAAGAAATTGGTCTTATATGAGAGGAATTCAAATGTCAAACCAAGGTTGTAACCTGTACCCTTCAAAATATGCTTAATTAAATCCCAAGAATTGTGCATTCCGCTTTCAATTTTCACATTCTTTATCATTAGTCTTTTCCCGATATCACGGGATTTTGTGTTTTAGTATAAATTTCATTATCTTGTCGATATCTTGTGAATATTATTCGAAGCTCGTGCATAAAAATGATATCGAAAAATGTGTTTATATTTAATACACTGTTATTGTACTCAAAACACATTTATACAATAAAAAGTATTGCATTTGCTGAAAATCATAGCATAGTTATAGTTATACAACACTGAATTTTGGCCCTACTTCAAAGCAAACCATTCATATTTTACACATCAATCTGTACACAAAAAACCTAGAGTACAAATTACAATACCATTGCCGAAAGCAAAAATTTGGGAGAATGAAAATTCCCTCAATGATTGTAAGTTACAACATAATGCGAGCAATCTGATTGTATCTTCTTTCTTCATTCTGTCTTGATTTGATTTCTTCAGCACATCTTAGGGTCCTCTCGATGTGGTAACCTCCTCCGATGCTTACTTCCCTCTCCAGGTGACAGCAGTAGCTCTCGAACACGCTCACGTTTACATGCAACTTGAAACCCATCAAGAACAAGAATTCGAGCTCCAAGTTATTCAATTCGTTCGTTGTCAATCCTCCCACTCGTGCAAAGTATGAATTTCTGTAATTCCTGCTCAAGAAGAAAAACAACTTGTCAAGGGCCTGAAGCTATTGATTTTAGCACCAAAACGAAGAAGAAAGGTTAAAAGAGAAAGAAACAATACTCACATGTCCTCGACATACTTGGAAGCGACCATGATAGTTGTAATGAGAAGCCTATGTACATTTCTTGCGTTAATCCGAAACCCAGGATTTGCCTGGCAAAACCGATCAATATATACATATGCAACAACATAAACCGACGGCCCGGCTTTGGTGTATCGGAAGATTCTCTCTAGGTATGATTGAATTGTCATGTCGGGTGTCTCATGGCAATCGAAAACTCTGCTCCTGTAATCTTTTGTCAACGACCACTTACAATTCTTGGCAATCCTTTCATTTCTTGTCATCGTTCTCTCAATTAGAGAAGCAAGGACTGATATCACCAGTGGGGTGTTTGCATCATTCTGATATGAATAACAGTACAGATCGGATCGGAGCTTTCTTGGAGAGATTGTAAGGGAATTCGAGGCAGCCATTTCTGAGTCAAAAAAGAAACGTTTTTCTCTGTATGGGGTCACACAGAGAAAGGGAAGACTGTGGTTTGGCTAAAGAAAAGGAGGTTATGAAAATGATTTATAGGAAGAATACTTCTCTGAGCTTGAAATCTTAGGAGAGAAAATCAAAGGGAGACCTTGGCTGTGGGGTATTGAAAACAATGTGAGGTTTTAATTAGGATTTATAGCGGGAGGGGGTTGAGATAGAAGAATGGGAGGAAAGGGTTCAAATAATTAGCTGTGACAGTGAATAAAGAAAGAGAGAAATGACATTGGTTTGGGCCATTTGGAAGGTGGGTGGAAGCCAAGATAATATGATTTTCTTAAAGATTTGAATGCCTCCTCCTTGTAAAGCCACAGCACAGACAAAGCTTTTCAACATTATAAAAATCACACAAAAACCCTTTCTGTGTTATCTAACTAACCCTTTTTGGGGTCAAATAAAACCGAGCTCGCCGACAGTGTGTTGAAGGGCAAAGGATCGGCAAGAAAGAGAAGTGTTGTGCTGAGCAGCTTCCCTGGTCAGGCTTTGGACCCACAGCAACGGGACGGCATTTATAGTTATAGATGTATTTGTACTGGCCTTGAGATTCGTGTCTACGAAACCCGAAAGACTCAGGTCCAAGTGGACCGCTTCCAGTTCCAGGTTACACGTGCAGTAGCAGCTATTTGACTCTACCAAGTCATCAAAAATCTTGGTTTTCTACTTCTTGTTGTACCACGTGCAGCTTCTCCTTCAGGGTGATTTCACTCTTCAGCCGGCAATTCATTTACTACTAGATCATGCTTTTCTCTCCTGCTGATCTGAGATTAGAACCTCCACGTCAACAAGATCTTTGGGTTTTCATTCTTTGTCCTTTTTACCCTAAAGTTATCTGCATATTTTCATGACACTTGAAGCTCACCGACACTAAATTCAACTCTTTTATTGTATCTGAATGTGATTGAGAAACATATCAAAGTGATGGAGAAGTCCTAACAAATATACCAAAGATTTCTTATAGTACGAAATTATTATATTTTAGAATCAATTATATCAGTAATACATAAAGCAAAACCTATACTACTATTTTGTGATGCAAGTGGCCATGGTCTAAAATGACTATTATGATTAATCACCATTTGATTAGATTCCCAGCATCAAATCTGAATCCTAAAAAGCAGAAAAAATAAAGTAATTAAGGCATATGATTAAAGCTAATAATATCAAATAAAATCCCACTGCACAGTAGATCGAAAGATCTGCATTATTTTATCTTTTTCACTGGAATTTGCATGATTATTTTGATATCCAGACCTGCAATGTGGGTCGAGTCGAGTATTCTCGTTAAGATGACAAGTCGTGGGGCAGAGCTGGCAGTCTTACTTGTACCCTGATCCTCCTTAACCAAATTAGAAGCACCATATAGTTCGCAAAAATTAAATACTTTCAAAGGGATTTCGGTCTCTTGGGCAAGCTATGGGACGGTCCATCTAAGAAAATATCTAATCTAAGTTTTGAGACCAATTATAAAAATCGTACTAGATCTTATCTATAATGGTCACATCTTTTAATCGTGCTATATAATTATAAGATATTAATGAATATATTTATTGGATTTAAATATGCACACAAATATATTTACTAAACATGTTATGTGATACGATACAAATAATGATTTCATTAAACAAGTCATATTAAATTTTATATGATATAATACGATTAACAATTCATTTAAATATGATTAATACAGTTATTTTGATAAATGTGTTCAACTTCTAAATGAGTTACGTAAATTAAATTATACAAATTGACACGATAATCTGATTAATTATTAAACAAAGTTTAAAAAAATTAAGTTTCGTTTAAAATATATAATTATTATGTCTTAAATGTGATCATAAAATTAATGCACAATAACTTTAAATTTAAATTTATTTAATCATATTTTCGTGTCAGGTTCAAAATTACCATATATATATATCTAACTTACTATAAACCCCTTGAAGTTCATTTATCTCTCCTTTTACCCTTAAAAAAAGTACCTATATATCTATGAAATATGAGCTTATTTATTCGAACCGACACTGTCACTGGTTCCTGCCCAAACAGTTGAGATAGGCCCAGGCAGTACCTTGCTTGAGGCTAACCAAAACTGTGGCTCGAAAATCTCAGCTGGGCCAGACTCTGTTGCAGATCAAGTCCCATTCTTTCATTGTGATCCACAATTTTTTGTTGAAATGAACTTTGATTGACAGTGATTTGGAGCACCAGAATCTCGTACGAAGTTGATTTTGCCTCAAACTTGTCTTACCAGATCTTTCTCAATAAATAGGAAAAGGGCAAAAAAATCTGTATTTTTTTCCTTGATATGATAATAACAAATGAACCCCAAATGGCACTTACTTTTCTAGATTTTGAGTACATCTAACTATTAGTATATATACGTGATTTTGTCATGTAAATATAAGATATTAATAATTAGATAGATAAATACGAATACAATATAATTAATTAATCATATCAAGATCTTAAACATGTATATAAATATATTTAATAAATTTATAATATGACACGATTAAAATATTTATTAAATATATCAAATTAAAATTTATATAATATGACATAATTAACATAATTAAAATTTATACGATTTATGACATGTTTATTCGATTGATATGATTAACACGATTAAATTAAAATATGTACAAGTAATATATGATTTTATTATTCAAATTTATAATAAAAAATTATAAATATAATAATATTTACTAAATATAATAAAAATTAATATACATAAATATTAATTATTATAAAAATATTAATATTTATATATATTAATAAATGAGTTTAAATCATGTATAAAATGTATCTACACGACATGTGAACACGATTAAATAAATGAATAATAAACAACTCATAGATAATATGGATGTACGATAACACAATTAATTAATTATGTGTCAGATTTATTTTTGATGGATTAAGTAAGTTTGACACGATTAATACACGAAATATGATAAACTTAAATTTAAACTTGCTTAAATCCATACTGTATTGTTGCATCGTATATAAAATTATTAGGTCTAATCTGGACAATTAGAGTCTGCATGAAATTTTGCCCAAGTCGGGGTAAGAGAATTTAGTTTGCTAGGCCAGACCTGACCCCCAAGGCCACAAAGATTTTAGCCACCTTTAGCATATACTCAAATTAGCAAAAGATTATTTTTTAGGTACATGGAGATTTTGGGCTTTTTTAAACAACGAAGACCATCTTATCAACTATAGCCCAACAGGCATCACATGTACACAATGAATGGGATCCAAGCCCAGGACTCGGTTTCCTTCTTTAGGTACAAAATAGAATTCCAAGGCATTAGTAATTTTTTCTTTTTTTTTATTAATATAGCCTATAATTTTGGAAATATTTGAACTTTTTTTTAATTTTACTTAAAAAAATCATGAAATATGTAATTTCAGGAGAATAATTACTACATAAAAAAAAAACTCTTTTCTGTTCCTAAATTTTTTTTACTTTTAGGAGGATTAAGATAAAAATTTTAATTTTTATGTACTTTACATTAAAATTTTAAAATATATTTATAATATGAATGTGTAATACTTTTTAATTTTAAAAAAATTGAAAAAAAATTTATAGCATCAAAAAAAGAGTTTTAAGTGTGTAAAAAAATTATTTTAAAATATTAAAAAATGATTTTAAAAAAATAAAGAATGAGAGAATATAAATTTTGTTGAAAAGGATATGTTGTGTATAGTTATTGTCAAAGTTGTTGTTAACGTAAAGCAAAAAAAGAATAAAAGTAAAAAGTTGTTGTCAACGTAATTATTATTGCTATCACCATCATATATTAAACTCTTTTAGAATTCACATCATAGCTATCCATAATAAATTGATATATTTTGGAAATTAAATTAAGTATTGGTATAATACTTACAAAAAATTTTAAATTACTTTAAAAAATTTAAATAATTAAATTTAATTAAATTTTTATATTTTTATTTTAACTTAAATAAATTTTTATAATTAACGATTATCTGTCAAACACATAAATACCTATCCTCTTATTCTATACCCTATTTGATTCTCCAACAATGTAATTTTTTTTTTTTAATTTGGAAAAAGAGGTGAGGTCAGTGATCGTGTAAGAAAAAAGGAACATGATCCATAGGCCAGATAGGACATGATCTTCCAGCCCATTAGATTTCTTTTGGATGAATTAAGGAACTATGGCCATGCAATGCACAACATCTCAAGTGGCTTTCTGAAAATGACCAACTCTGTTGGGATTTGTAATGAAAAACAAATGGTCCAAAGGCATCTCTTAAGAGTTACAAGCTAAAAGGGATGAGTCCAGTCCAGCACTTCAATTTACCAGGCCAATGTGCAAACAAAATTTTTTCTTTAACAATTTTTTTAAAAAAATTTTGAATAAAAAACCATTCACCAATCACAAAACCAAATATTAAAGTATAATTTATTATAAAAAATTTATAAAATCTTTGACATGTGACACACACATATATATTTTCACTTTTACGATTTCGGATTAATGTAAAATCATATTTGTAAATTTGACACTTATTTACAATTAATTAATCTTGTAATTCATTATAAAATATTATAAAATTTTTTATATATGATAGTTAATTATTTTATGTGTATATATATTATCACTTCTTGCAGCATCTAGAATTCTTGTATCAAAATAAATACAAATCCCATCATTATCTGGCTTCCAGATTTGCTTTGGTCTATTGTTTTTCTTTTTCTCTTTTGCTTTTCATCTCCCATTAAAGAGGTATTCGAAGAGATCACTAAGAAAAATTGACTTCATTCTTTCTCTCTGTATAATTCTTGGCCACCAAGAGTGGTAGAAGAGCAATGAGATTGCAACCAAAATGGAATTAGAACAAATAATCTTGTGATGGGACAGCGCAAATGACATGTGCATCCCCAAATTGGGGAAAAAAAAAAGGTAAAAAGCAAAAGGAAAAAAGTAAGACATAAGAAGAATTTGGTATATATGTAGTTTTTTGGTAGAAAATGGGACTAGTATATCATATCACGGTCCATGCACAAGTCAAAAGTTTCAAGTTGCATATGATTCTCCCTTCCATTACATCCATTACTTCCCTTTCTAATTTTTTTTTTGGCCTTTTTATTTTTCCTTCAATTTTCCCGCCAATTTTCCAATGGGATTGAGGGGACTTAAGGATGATTTAGGACCTTTCCATTTAAGGCCTACACACCCTTCAACAAA